ATGGCAGCCTAGTAAACACCCGGGAAACTTAAACTAACCAATTTTTTGTTGAATAAATAAATTTGAAGTGAAGCTTTGATTTTAAAACAATTTTTTTTTGTATAAAATCAAGTTCGAGAATTTTCTTAAAAAGCTTCGCGAAAAAAATTATTTTGAAAAATAATTCCAAGTGTCTAAGTATGCAAGTCCACTTACTTACCTGTCCTCTGAGATCTCTGTTCTTTTGCAATAACGTTTAACTTTTTATTTCCTACGCCCGTAGGAGCCTGTTTATGGTTTTATAAATTTAATAAACAAAAAACAACGTAGAGTTTTACAGTAAAACCTGATTACGGAAGACTTCTCAAGCCAAAATCCACGAATGATAAAAGCTGTCGAAAAGTGCTTCTGGTTTTCTGCGGTGGATGTTGTAAAAATATTTTATAGGACGCCGTCTTCGTGTCTTGATTACCAAAAAATAAACCAGACTGGCGCGTGGACAAATTTCTTAGTGCCTATCTTAAGACTTCTGGGGCCCGTGGACCTGTGAAACGGCCAACGAAAGACTGTTTTGAGGGCTGCCGATTAGGTGAAAGCTCACGATGCAGTTAGTCTATCTGAATGGTCTACATGGTGTACCAAACTCCAATTTTACAAGTTTAAATCTCGTATAGAGAAATGTGGCGGTTAATTAGGCGCTGTGGAAACAATGATTGTTGCCTGAAATTATTATTATTAATTTGTCTTAAACTATTTTACTCTAATATTAATTGCTACTTATTCAATGGACTTGTAAAAAATATTTTTAGGTGTGTGCGACTAGCATCTTTTAATATTTATATGATACAAATGCAGAAATTTAGCTTTTACTATTTTATAGTGGCTTTGGCCTGTGAATTATTAGCTTCTGTTGATCACTGAAATTAAAATTTTGTAGGGCCTCTCGAACTGCAATAAAATCGTTCAACCCGGTTTGTAATTATTATTTATGACCTTCTCTATAAGTTTTGGTCATTTTGGTGGTTTCCAATGCATCGCGACGCCGGCCATCGCGCTTATACTGCGGAGTGGTTTTTTAATGAAAATTAATTTTACTATTTTGGCTTTTAAAAATCGGAGAATTGAGATAAAAAATTGTGGTTTGAAGTTTTGAATGTGGTTTTTTATTCTTTATCTAATTTGCTAAGAAAAAGTGATGTGACCTGTGACACTTTGAACCCGTGTAGTGTCGGTCTCGGGCTTTTTTAAATGTTTCTGATGGCTGAGGGCCTTCTATGTGATCTGGGTGATTTTTTTGGCAATATCATTTTTTCAAGTTTATTAATTTTTTTGTAGAATTTTAGTTCTACAGCATTGAATTGGTTCTACCAATCCAACTACTAGCCTCAGTACCCGTTGCTTTACTTTCCTTATCTAGTTCGACACAACGTAAATTCAGCGCTACACTCGTCCCTTACCCAGTTAAGTGATGTGCTAACATTTTTATTTTTGAGCAGGGGGTCGAGGATATCAGATGCAACTCTTAGATACTCATATATGGAGAGTATGTGAGTATCTAAGATATTTATATTTATAGATAGTTTAAATACACCTGATTTCATGGTTATCGAAATAACTTGCATCGCTTTCACATTTATACATTTTGTATAAAGACGTTCACGGTTTTCGAAGCAAATGACTCAAAAATGGTTTTTTAATAAAACTATGAATTCAAATTGGAGTATAATTAATTTATAGACAGATGGCATATATTAGGATGCATTATACTTTTATTTATAGTCGCAGCAAATATAGTAGAAAGAGGAAGCGCTGTAATCCAGGGTCCCGCCGGTTAAAGCGAGAAAAATGATGTGTTAGCTAGCTGTCTTACCACGGTGGTACTATATCTTTTGCGCCACCATACTTATTTTATTTTTTACCTATTTGACAAGAAAATTATTTTCCTATTTCAAAAGTTTTTTATACGCCCACCTACGAGATTAATCTTGAAACGCCACTAGTTTTATTTAAAATTTCCAATTCTACCAGTTTTCAAAAAAATTCCCTTGTTTGTTCAAATATGAAAATCAATATAGTTACAACATAACACAATTTATTTTCTTTTTAAAAACTGTAGTTATGAGATTATTTGTAGCACAAGGGGAAGGAAAATTCTGGTATAAATCGACATTTTAGTATCAGAACTAAATGCAGTGATGAGTGAGTAAATCTGATATATGATTAAAAGATGTTATGAAGCGGCTATAAAAAATAAATAATCCGGAAAACATCGTGTTCCAGTTAAAGGAACCGTGAAATTGGAAATAAAGACAACATTCTATATTTCTTTTGCAATCCTCTTGCTAAGAAAATTAAACACGACAGTCATTCAGTCACATTTTGTATCTAGGGGTGTAACGAAATGATTTTTGCATTAACAGTTTTTTATTGTAATTAGACCGAGAATGGGTTTTTCTTTCATTTTGGTACACTCTGTATAGGATAACTTGTATTAATGTTTATTTTAAAAACTGCTTTGAATCAAATTTAAATTTATTTTGCAAGTCCAATACTGCCGTGTTAATTGAAAAGGGCGTATCTGCAAGTAGCTCGATTTAAGATCATTTCGTTTTTTATATTTATTACTAAGCCACCCATGGTTACCTCTTCCAAAATTATTTGTATTTTACAACTATAATACTTGCAGTTACAACTTGTGTGAGTAACGAAAATGTAGCTTAAACTCTCAACTGTTAAAGGCATTCATAAACACCTCATCAGAAAATGACCAAAATGGCGCAGATACGCCCTTTTCAATTAACACGGCAGAATACTTGGAATAACAATTATTTCTCAAACATAATTGTTTCAAATCGGTTATTTTCAGGGTAATCTTAGTTTGTTCTATTATCCTAATGATAAATTGATTATTGTATTTGTACTTAACCAAGTAAGAGGAAAGTAGTTTGATTTAATTTCAAATCAAGTTGAAATTATTTACTGGTAAAGAAATATGTTTCTATTTGTTTTAGTAATTTACCGAATAAGTTATTAGTTGATTTATTTTAAATATTAGTACATGGCCGTTTTAAATTATTTTTTTTATTTAAAAAATTATGAGAAAGTGATTCCCAGCCTTGGAATATTTTATAAACATTTGTTTATATGAATTAACGTAGGGATTTTGTTTAAGTACGATGCACCGAGCTAGCTTAAGAGTTTCGTCTTCGATCGTGAAAAACATGAATTTGTAGCCAGATAACTGTGACGTTATTAGAGAAAATATGAATATGAAATTTGGAGGACATATAGATAAAAGTTCAATCTGTCACTGTGTGGGATTTTTTGGAAAAAAAAAATTAGATTTTTCTCCATTTTTCACAATTTCAAAATATGAAAATTGATAAACTAAAAATACAGCGACATAGAATATAATTACAATTCACCATCAAAAAAAAAAAATTGTTTTTATTATTTCGAAAAAGCATTTTTAATTGCCTGGCTCTTTTCCCGATTTTGTTATACATGGAGCAGGCAGGCGCTCTCTATAATTTCGTCGAGCGCTCGACTCGAGGTGTATTCAGTGTGATTTACGGCCCCGTTTACAACCGAGTATTCCAGTCAAGAACATTACTATTAACAAACAGTACAATATTCAAAAATGCCAAGTGAATTAATTATTGATGCCATTCGTACTAGGAGTACTTAATGCAACAATATTTAATAAAAAAGAGAAAAACGTGATCGTAAACATAATTTATTTTATTTTATTTTGTATGTATGTATAGGGTAAGTCGCATAAAGTATTCTTCTCATTTTTGTCGTTAATTCTAAAAATATTCTCTAATGGTTTTTATGCGCTTTAAAATCTGAGCCCAAATGTAAAATTTAAGCAAAAATATATACAGCTTGATCAAAAATATACGTTTTCTTGAAATTTCACGCTGTGCATTTTTAGATAATTTGACAGAGCTCATTGAGGCGATTTCAAATACATATATATATCTGTAATATATTTGCCCCATAAACAAAGAAAGTTTTTTTTTAATTTAATTTTAGTTTCATTTTATTTGTAATTTTATTATTCTATATAGAAATTGTTATTTGAGAAACTAAATGATAGGAAATCGCTTGAATTATTAAAAAAATTTTACCATTCTTTTGGTAGTAGCTATCTATCTGCCTTATTTTTGAAGCAAATAAATATATTGCAGTTACATATTTTTTGAATCGCCTCAATGAGCTCTGGTCAATTTATCAAAAAATATATAGGGTGTGCCATTTACAAAAAACATGTTTGATTAATCTGGGCATTTTTGGTTAAATTTTATATTTGAGCTTAAATTTAAAACATACTTACCAAATTCCATCATAAGATGGCCTCTTATTCAACTATAAAATATTTTTAGAATTAATAATAAAATGGGGAGGGGCATAAAAGTTAACATCGCACTAGTATTTTAGATTTTTTTTTACATTTTCATTAAAAAAAAAAACTAAAAATAATTGTCCTTTGTCTGTTTAGGGCACACGATTCCGACATCTACAGTCACTAACCCTGTGGGATGTGAGGAGTATCTGTAGGTAATTCAGTGGCGTTCCTCCTGTGTGATTTTGGAGGCCACATGAGAACATTCCAGATTGCGTGCGCAAAAAAACAATAAGTTTGTTCTTATCCTTATCCAAATTTGTTATGAAAAATTCTATAAATAAAAGTATACTGAACAAACTTCATTGAAATTAGAATTACTTACGTTGTCTAGTTTTGAGGATTTGCAAAGTTAAAAATGTTTCACTTTTTAAGGACATTTTGACCATACCAGTTTTTAATTCGTTGTCTCGGGAAAATGTGCGTCCTCTGAATAAAATGTTAGGTATAGATAAAATACAGTTTTTTTCATACACTGGCTTTCTTCATTTTAGTTGTTTGAATGGATGTAATTTATTAACCGTTAATAATTTTTAAAAATATTTTCAGGATATTTGTTTATTTGATTGTAAGTTATTGTTCTAAACAGAATCTCACAAAAAAAACTGTGTTTGCGTGGTCAAGTGGTAAAGACACTTGTCTCTCACCCTGATGTCCCGGGTTCGATCCCTGGTCGAGGAGCTAGGGTTAAGGCTGGCATTTTGCTGTAAATACACGTGTGTGGAGTACGACACACGTCTATTTTTAACTAGCGAGTAAACGTATATTAGTAATATTTGTTGTAAACGTTCCGGAGTTAATCACCGGCGCCCCTCATTAAAAATCCATTTGTATTTGAGAATGATGGTTCAACGTCGACAAATGTAATTGGCGTATACTTAAAATATATAAACTTTTTCAGAGACTCTGCATTTATGTCTAATGTAGAAAAGTCTACTTCTTAGCAATTTAAAGTCATATCAGGTTTGACATCTGCCACCCCGCCGACCGAAGCCCCGGAAAATTCCAAAACAAAAAAAAGTTTTGAAAAAAATCTTTAAAAGATCGATAGATGTTAAATATGTGAAGCATAAACTGACAAAGCCAAAAAGTCCCCGTGAAGGGATGTAGATATCTAAAAAATGCATGCAACAGTCTCAGTACTTTTGGACGAAAAACAAAAAAAGTTTTAAAAAAATTCTTTAAAAGATCGCATAGATGTTAAATATCGAAAAAAATAAATGGAAAACACCCTCAAATTCCGCCTATTGACTTTGGTAGCCTGCTATCCTCTACAAAAGTCAGTCCTTTTTGGACGAAAAAACAAAAAAGTTTTGAAACAAATCTTGAAAAGTTTTTATTTGTATTTCCGTCATTTACCTTTTGTGTCTGAATTTACTGCTGTATTATTTTGTCCGAAGTGCCCGCTTTTCCGAATCTCAGAGATATTCGAAAAATTTCGCGATTCATTGATAAAAGTGGGTTATCTGTTAACAACAAGCACTGGAACTATTCGGGTGTCATTTTTATTTAATATTGATGTAAAGATAGGACTTTTATGCCTCGATCTGTGGAAGGGATTTTCATCAGGTACACGCGAAGTGACACCAGTGAGGTTTTTATGCCTCGATCTATGGAAAGAATGTCACTAGGTTCCCCGGGAGGTAATGCATGGTCCGTTCCATCCGACACCCGTATTCACTACAAATAAATTGTACAGGAGATAAGTTTGAGGTTGATTTGATAACCTATTACCCTAAGCTGTCACTAGCTAATGAAAGTTATCCTCGAATATCTCCAGTCACTCACGCATATCTCTAGTTTAGTAAATTTAAGGGACAGTTTCCAATTAAAACCCGAGTTAGTAAAACTTCTATGCTGTATAGCTAGACGAGCCCCAGAAATATTCGGTTGTCATTTTTATGCCTAGATCTGTGGAAAATATTTCATCAGGTGCACGCGAAGTGACACCAGTGAGGTTTTTATGCCTCGATTTGTGGAAAGAATCTCACAAGGTGCCCCGGGCTGTAATAACCGTTCCGTCCACCACACGTAGTCAAGAAACCCTAACAAAGGACATTAGGAGCTAATCTAAAGATATAGCACGCACGCAGTTAGACAGTCATATATACCGACTGTCCCTGGGCAGACCTCCTGCACTTGTGTCTTGCTTATACTCCGTAACCGCTTACCATTGAATATACCTTCGATTGAATATCACCTTAAACCCTAGTGACTGTAAAGTCATTAACCGCCTGCTGTAAATACCAGTAGTAGTGGTTGCCGTAACTTTGCTTTATTATGAATCACCGCTTGCTTGCTTTGATAGATGCTTGTAGTAAACATTTGAATCTTGCCTGCTGATAGTAATACCGTGGTAGTAGTTTCCGTAACTTAGTTGTGCCAGATATAACTGATTACCGCTTTTGCATTATCATAACCTCTTGCTTGAGTCCTTGGTTTCTTACTTGTAATATATCTTAGTATATACGTTGCATTAAAGCATAACTGTTGTATTTATTAATTATGGTTTTTTTATTCTCTAAATAAAATAGAATAAGTAAAGCGGAAATTCTGCTTTTTTATGTAAAGCAAAAAGTATTAGTAATAAAACTGTTTATGCACCGAGAATCACATTTTTCAGTAGGGAAAGGTGAAGTTGTCCATTGCTACGCAACCGACAACCATACACACAGACCCCTGGACATACCGTTTCTTCACTGAGTTATCCTAGCTTCTATCATACCGCTGACAGAATAAATTATCGTTCCTACACTTTAAAACAGGAACTGGCGTTCGAGAGCGTACCATAATAAAAAAGAACCGCTGCTGCCAAAGAGTATTACCATTGTGTAGCAACACGTCACGGGAGACACGAGCTTAACCGAACGTTTCATTGTGTAGTATTTTGAAATGAAAGCACAGTATATGTACAGGGTGAACCCGCAAGAATTCCCACCCCTTTTCTCCGTTATTTTTGGAGGTAGAAACACGTTTCAAAAAATAAATTGTAGGAAATTTTATGAATTTTTTTAATGACAATCTCAGTGAGTATACATGGAGTTGTATAAAAGTGTGATCAAACCAACTTATACTTTTTTTATATAGAGTACCCTATATAGTTTTTTGAAATCTACGCTTTATTACGATTCCAGTGATATATACATGTTATATATTTGCCTCATTTGTTTGGAAGATACAAGTTGTTAAAATATCGAATTAAAATGAAGTAGAAACTAAAATATCATGTTTCTAGAAGCCTATGGAAAAATAAATAAGCGTCTAAATAATTGAATATCTGTCAGTCGATTAACTTGTCATTTTTTGTTGTCCTAACTTGTGTGTGAAATATTTTTATTCAATAAAATCATATATTAATCTGAAAATGAACACAGGAACATACTCGGAAGTATATTTTAACAGCTTGTATCTTCCAAATGAGTATGGAAATATATAACATGTATATATCACTGGAATCGTAATAAAATGTGTATTTCAAAAAACTAAAAATATATAGTGTGTTCTATTTAAAAAATATATAAGTTGGGTTGGTCACACTTTTATGAAACACCATGTATATTCAATAAAGATCATCGCAAAAGAATTCATAAAATTCCTTCGATCTGCTTTTTGAACGGTCTTTCTAACTCCAAAAATAACGGAGAAAATGGGGGTGGGAATTCTCGCGGGTTCACCCTGTACATACAGGGTAAGTCTTAAGTGTGTAGTTATATTTAAACCACCGATTCTTGACATCTGTAGAAACCCTCTGACACTTCTTTTTAATTCCCGCATGTTACTGAGTTATCGACTTACGATAAAACTGTTTTGGAACTGGTGGTTACTGGAAACATTCTCCATCTTAGCTAAAATGGTGTATTGGATTGAAGCAACGTTGCCGCATTTATTATGCAATTCTCTTACCTAGGCCCAGTTTTACAATCGTGAGTTAACATAAGTTGGAGCTTAACTTATATTTTCATAAAAATCGTAAAGATCAAATACAAACCACTTCAACTAAAAGTTACATTAGCATAAAATATTTGTTGCTATAACCACTTCCAAAACAAATGTAAAATGGAAAAAATTCGATTTCTAAGAGTGAGTTTAGCTAACCCACATTGAAAAACCGAGCCCTAGCAGTAGTTCATTCCAGAATTTATAATAATTTGGATGAAATAATTACCTACTCCATGCTCCTTACTCCATTTGAAATAAGTTTTAAACATTTTAAAATACCTTTCAATGTAAAAAATTTACAATTTAGTCTTTTTCTTGCAACAATCAACATTTCTTTTTAAGTGTTTCATATGGAACGTACAACTAAAATCAAATTTTCCGATGAACAGTAAACTTTTTAGGGAATCTCGAGAGGAATTAAATATTTCCATCTCATTTTTTCAAAGTTTATGAAAAGATTATTATTTTTAAGAAGTAGGTACTTACCCTCTGCCATTACAATAATTTGAAATGTGTAGAGGTTCGGGGAATTAATCAGCCCTCTACTGGCCTTCAATAGTAAAGCACTGAAGGTGCAACACAATAACAATCAGGTGATGGAAAATAGTTTGCAGTATTTTTACACACTTCTGTCATTTTTTACACTGGACATACCTAACAATGTGCATTTTTTCCTCAATAATACTCTGGACGGTTAATAGTATACGTCATTTTCGCGTGTCAGATATTACGTTTTTATGGAGTATTGAAATCGACTTTAGTCTAATACCATTCAACGTTTTCATGAACAGTATCTAAAATGATTTGAAATCCCGTTTTCAAATTTTGCCATTTGCCAGTTGCTAACTGTCATCTTGGGGCAGGTGTCTTTTATCAGTGGATGTTTTTGGTTTGTTAGAAATCATAATTTATGACTACATATTTTTATTTTAAATAAATTAAGTTTAACAGTCACTCAGCCACAAAATGGAAAGTTTGGAATTTATTGGTTATAAAACAAACTTCCCAGTTGACAGTGCGCATGTTTAGAATCAATACAAAAGCCGTTTTCATGTAGTTGGATTGGGTTGGATCTTAATATGATCCCAGGATAAAGCCGATTCGACCATGGAATTTAAATCGAATTCAATACCTGTTTTCATGCAGTTTTCAGTTCGGCAACCGTATTCAAATCGATTTGAATACTCCATGATAACGTAGTTATTGTGTCTAAAGTGAATTGTGTCTAAAGTTTAAAGTGCGTCTCACATAATTTCAATGTGTTCCTTGCCCTACAATAACTATTCAAATTTATGTCGTTCCCCTTAATTTTCCTTGCCATAAAACGACCTCTTGCCCATTATTTCATTTTTGATCACTGATCACGTGATCTTCATAATAACATTAAAAATGGCAAGATAGGACATTTAAGGGCAAGGAAAATTAAGAGGAATTACATAAATTTGAATGGTTATTGTAGGACAAGGAATACAGTGAAATTATTTGAGCCGCACTTTAGATACAATCTTAAACGAGACGCCAACCACATTATAATGTGGTTGAATTTTTATCATATAGCGGAGCAATATCATATAAAGCGCTGTTATTCTAAGGAAAAAATTGATCTTTTTTATAAAAAATGTCTTATACTATCCTCCTAACTGCCCAGAGTGTTCTTGAGGGGAAAAAATGCAAATTGTTAGGTATATCCAGTATAAAAAGTAACAGAAGTGGGTGACAATACATTTTTTTTCCTTTTCCCATA